AGAAAGATGCTAAGAAGGCAATTGAATTATATGAAAAAAGCAGCTGAACAAAGATATGTTAATGCACAGAACTATGTTGAAGACTATTATAATAAAAAAAAGAGTATATGAAAAAGAATTAAAAATTGGTTCACACAATAGTCACAAGTCACTTTCATATGGGGCACTACAACAAAACTAGACAAATTGAACATTCAAATATGTAAGCTAACATTGTTAAGAGCATACTAATATTAATAATATGTTTTGGGAAGGCTTTACTTGAATGGCATAGTTGTGACTTAGGCGCATGCAACCCATAATAATAACTAATTTTTAGTTGCATTTTAAAATAAAAAACTTTTGCTTGACATTATAACATGTTTATAGAATTATCTCTATTACTATATAAAATATATATATAATGTGAAACTAATCTATATTAAATCCACCATGGAACCAAAGAAGTATTCAATGATACCAAAACTCTGCATAATTATTTAGATAAAGAAAAAGGTACTTATGAAATTATCAAAAGAACAAAAAATTCATAACTAATAAAAGAGCATTAACGCCAACTTACGATGAACCATGAAAGAAACGAAAAATAGAAGCATTAGCATAAGCAAATAGCTGCTTTTTTATTATTATTGAATTTCCATGATTCTTTATTATTATATACTGCTCGAGTAAGAATATGATAATTTTGATTCGTTGTGCCCCAAGTACTACAAATCTGACACAATTCATGACCAGCAAACCATTATCGTATTAGTGAGAGTCATTGATTTTATCACTTGAATTAAACTAAATTTTTTACCTGCGTAGGCACACTATCGTCGATTACTTGTACAGCATATCGCTGATACATACAATCTTTCTCGGGAGCTCAACTCAAATCGTGTTAATATTCTTGATGCTATAACTTACTGCACTGAGGCGTGGAGCGCCGTTACGGAAACTACCATTAAGAATTGTTGGAGGAAAACCGGCATCCTACCACCTGATAACGAGACGTCCACAGTTAATGAACTGAACATCGACATTACAGAGTCAGAAATTAATAATCTACAATCTTTTATTGATAGTCTAGGCTTGGAAAAGCCAACGTCAACGGAGCAATATATGAACATTGACGAAGAGATAGAATCTCTAGTAAATCGTTCTCTCTTTTGGGAGGAAGACGAAATTGAAGAACCGGCCATTTATCCTACTGTAAGTGTTAAGTCTGCTTTAGAGGGCCTTCATGTGTTGTCTGACTTTCTTTCCAACCCAGCTGCAGAGTTTACTTATGATAGAAGCGTACTTTTTAAAATTCGAAGCATAAGAAGTAATTTGTTGACCCATTTTATTTCAAAAAAAGCAAACATCTATTGATAAATTTATTCACAATTGTTAGTCTATATAAGTAAACAATAAAGCTTGGCAGTTTCATTTAACATCCCGATAAAGCAATATTTTGCGTATCACTCATATTATCGGTAGAAAAGAAAAAAACCCGATCTAACGATACCCCGCTTCACCGATAAATTTTTTGGCGGAACAAAAATATCGGTATAGCGTAGCGAGGTTTGACTGTAATGTGAACAAAAAGCTTGAAATAATAATTCAAGCAATCAAGTCAAAAATGGTCAAAGTAAAATCTAAAAATAAATTTTGACATTATTTGTTCAACATTGGAAATTTGTGGAAGGATTTTAAACCGTTATTCGATACGAAGTCTGAGCTGGGTCTCAGGCTTTTCGCTTATTAAAGCGAGCACTCAAATCTGCGAGTTACGCGGGGAAAGAGGCGTTGTCGCCTCTATATAAAGAACTTTTACCGAAAAAAATTAACCCAAGGGGAAACGACTGTCAAAGCAGAAGAGGATTGGGTTGATAAAGAGAAGAAGATACTAGTAGCGCGCTAATATATAGTATAGATTTCACTGAAGCGACCAAAGTATACAGTATGAGTACTCATTAATGGCTTTGAGTCTGTGTATTTCCTCCCATGCAATCGCTCTAGTGAATATGCAAATGTACCGTACATACTTTGTTTAAGAGCAATAAAGAGAATCGATTGTTGTAACTATGCCTGATTTTTTTTTTTTTTTTTTTTTGCAATTCGCATTCGAACTCCTGAAAACAAAAAACACTCAAATTGCCAGTTATCCCAGTCATTGTGCGACTCATAATAGACAACAGAGTTCTTAATAATAATAGCTAGACCTACAATAAATCACAGGATTTTTGTGTCACGTGTTGAAATAGATATGAAATTTGCATATTCTCTAAGCGACATTAACAATTTTCAAACTTATCAAGCATCAATAAAAACTCTCCATGAAAAACTACTGCTTTTATTGTTGTATACGTAGAAATTACAAATGTCAAAATCTAATACTTGGTGTTCCCACTTTGAGCCTTAATAACGGCATCTATTCGGCGCGGCAAGCTCATAATTAAGAATCGCAGTTATTATTAATAATTAACTCTATATTACTGTCCGGTTCAACAATACTACTCTTGACGGAAAAGGTGGTCAATAATTTTGTGAAATGTCCAGTGACTGACCAGTCACTCCCTATAGGTATCAAAATTGCTCACATCTCCATCCGTTGTGGTTTTGTCCCTGGTGTCCTAGCATTCCAAATACCCTATCCCACATGTTCCATTCCTGCCATTTTACCCCAAACCTCTAGAATTTATCTTCACAAATCTCTCTTTTAATATTTCCTTTTTCTTCTCTATCCTCTATTATTTACACTATCCAAATTTAAGCATATTGCTCGTTTGATTCAGTTAGCTGTCCGTTGGACTGTCTGGACTTCCTAATTTAAACGTATCACTTTTTCTGCCTCGAAAAAATTAGTTATAAATACGAGTGAAATCCCATCGTCAAAAAAGCATGTTACTTATGTTATGAATGTTTGCATGTTTGAATAATAGTTAACAATCTAGTTGACATAATAAAAATTCCCTTGATAATTAAAATACTTTCTTTACTGATTGGACCCATAATTATAAATCGATTAGCAATTAGAGCAAAAACGTTTGCGCTGTGACCTTTAATTAGGGGAGGCACGCAAAAATCATCAATAAGGACTTATTCCGTTAAATTAGTTAGAAAATACAAGTGACGCGATACTGACTAGTCAAAATACCAAATCGGAGAACGTCCTGATTAAATTCCCCTTCGATTCATCGTGTCGAGTATTAGTTGTAAATCTCAATCGTTGGTACCCTTATTTGGATACAAACGCGGAGTTGTTTTGTATAGGGAGTTACAAAGTGCGTATATTAACAATTAAATCACTTGGGGTTTATTTCAGTATTAATCGTAGTAAAAGCGGTAGTACGAGCTAAGCCTGGTAACATCCCTCGGTCGGTGAACACACCTACACAATAAATCAAATTGCTCTCCTAACCCCAAAAGACCATTCGACCGTAACATTATTGTACCTCTTCTTGCTTTTCATGTATGTTAAAACTAGCTTTAGCGGTTTATCCGTAGTTATACAATAAAGTTCTACAATATTCAGGTCACTTGATCAAATCGCCGTTTTCAGACATTTTAAGTCTACGTGATAATAATTATTCGAATTGTATTCCATATCTCATAAAAAACAATCTTCAAAAAACACATTGTCCACACAGTGCATTGAGTACAATTTTTCAATCACGTGTAAAACGCCCCGAAAACGCTCTTTATGAGTTACGTATATACTATGTCGACAGGCAGAAACGAGTATACGTGTAGCAACAGCAAAAAAACGCCATGCAATGCCGTGATTTAAAATTTCAAGTGTTGTCAGGTCGTAAAGACCTTGACTAAAACATTCGAGACTGCTTGCAGTCATACAATTCTTCTCTCGCGAGTATAGCTCTGCCAAATCAACCAGACCGGTAACGCCCATTTAAGTCTTTAGAACGGCAATGCGGGTATTTTTGGTCGTTTCGCAAATAAAAACAATTTTATTGGAGTAAATTTTCCTTTCGAAATCAAGGGCGTAAGCGTCTTTTTCTTTTAGTTCAAACGCGGTCTCACCCAATGTTATTTTTGACAATTATTGCTGCCCCTGACGTTGGTCACTCTTAACGTGTGCGAGTATGAAAAGTCCCTCCCAACGACAGCATAGAGCATCGTCTATAAGAATCAAGAGCTGTTGAGTGACAAAATGAACGATAAACATCTGTCGGACAAATCTTTATGTATACTTCGACCCACGTTATCGATTACAATTAAAACGACGAAAATGCCTGTGTCACCCTCAAATTTGCTGGAACAAAAAAAAAGTTATCGAACCCTATAAGTACGGTCATCCAATTGAAGAACCAGTAACAAAAACGTCCATAGTCTGTCTGCTATCAGTTCGGCCCAGCTTTCGCCAAACTCACCTCCGATATTTGACGTTGGCGAGATATTCTTGAGCCAGGCTACAGGAAAAAAAGAAAAACTAAATCACTAGCACAGGAACAAAATCCCTCCTCAGTGTCAAGACTTACTCACCCGTTCGATCTTAGTTAAGACATGAAGAAAGAGGAGCGACAGCATCTACGAGAAAAGATCTCGATGTATTAGTTGTATTAGCACGTTATTTGTATTAGCCACAAGATGCTATACATATTCGTCTTGTTTTGTCACCTATTTAAAAGCCTCTCACCATGCTGCACATGACACGAGTTAGTTGGGCACATCATCGATTCGCGCGATTCTGATATTCAACAACCTACACGAGAAATCTGAGAACAATCTTTTGAGTATACATATACACACAATATCTGGATACGATTGTAACAAACAATAATAGTGACGCATTCATACATAATCTGCCAATGTCGATATCGAATTTGCTCGTCATCACCCTTAAGCCCGTGCCAGACAACTGAAATGCAATTAACACGTATTAACTCAACATAAATCCAAATAGGATAAATGGATGTTGCTTTCCATATTAAAAGCTCTGCGCAACTTATCTTGAGAGTGTCTGTAACCTTCGACTCGACCGCTTGAAAACGAGCGGGTTCCAATACCCAGTATTATTGAGCAAAGGTCGCGGCCCCTTCACAACTCCCTTCGGATATCTCAGAGAGCTCTGGTAGAGCAAGATCGGGCAAGACAAAGCTTGGCGGAGCCTCACCCCGAGCCAGAACGGTCGAGAGGAGAGAAAGCGGGTTGTATGCCACCATCTATCTGGTGGGCATGCTCGCGGCCTTGCTCTCCTAGAGAGAAAGCGGGTTGTACACCTGTATTCTGGTGGGCATACTCGCGGCCTTGCTCCCCAGACAGAGAACGGGTCAGACTGTATCAGGTAACTCATCATAAGACCTCGAGTGTCTTTGCGGAACTCTGCCCTTGAAAAAGCCATACGTGGCGCAGTCTCCCTTTTAAATGTATTCATTCTTGTCACATGACATACGCGCATGTCATAAGTGCTGATTTGCAAGTGGTGATTCTTCGTGTTTTAGATATCAGGTAACATTGTTTGATACATTGTCTGTGCCGTTATATAATGTCTGGCATCTTTTTCTTTCCTGTGGTTGCCACTGCTGTACTGCTACAATTTGTCAATAACATACCTGATATTGATTTAATGACATTCCTTTCAATGTTTAACCTGCACCATTTAATGTGACCAAAGGGAAGAAAATCTACGCGTTGCAAAACATGGACAAGAGCTATTATGCTGGATTAGCCAAGGAATATATTGTTGAGTTAGACTGGACGGTTCGCGGCTATCTCGACTTTGTCAAGTCAAAACATCCAGATGTTGGTTCAACAGATCGTCACATGGTGGAAGCAGCCCTAAAAGGAAGGTTAAGAGCGATTGCAGGCAAAGGGAAAGGAATTAAAAAAAGGTCAAAAGCATCATCTGTTCTTGCAGATTTCAAGGTAAGCAGATGATGGCACAAGTTACCATAAATCCGCCCTAATAATATTATAACATCTACAGGATATCTTGAAATCCCGGGTGGTAGCTTCGTTCTGGGAAGCACAAGATGAAATGCATGATAAGGTATGAATTCTTTTATTCAGTTAATATGGATTGGTCTAATACTTAATGTTACTCTAATGTCTTGGCCAAAGCATTCTGCTCTCACAACTATCAGACAGGAAGGGATAAAAACTGCTGTTGCTGCTATTCAAAACCAAGCAGAAATACTGAGAGCAGCTTTGCAGTCAAGTTCAGATAAAGTTTGTTGCAACAATGCCCCTTCCAGCAAGGTTTGCCTTGATATGAATTCTCAGTTTTCCTTAAAAAAAAAATACTGCAATTAACATTTATGCTAATGTCAGCAAAGGATTGACCAAGATGAGGATGGCACACACAAGCACATTCATGCAGAAGGAATACCAGCTCTTGAAGATGCTGAAGAAGTGGATGGTGTAAGTTGTCATTAGATCCTCAATGTGTTTTTTTGCTAAACAACCTTTGTAACGCATAGTTTTATCAGTTGAGGACATCATTACCAATGCCACTATCACTGAGCCTGCATAATGAAACCTTTACCAGTCCACAGAAGCTGATGCTGCACAAGGATACCTTGCACTATTTGCATAAACATGTGAAAATCGGCATCAATGAACAATGTATCATATTAAGGCATGGGGAAGGTGACCAATGTGCAGCAATGGCAAGGGTACTGCATAGCTGGTTAGTGAATGTTCTGTTGGTAAGCTACTTTTAAGTCAGTTTTTAGTATAAATCAATCACACATTAAAAGATTTTTGCTTGCATAGTCTGAAAAAGAAAACTTCAAAAATGCCATAATGACCCCTCTGGAACCTGTAGCAAGCACTAGTCATAATCAGTTTCGGAGAGTCTGTGAGATAATCCTTTATGACTTGTAAGTCAGTTCTGTTGTTATTGTATGCTGTGGCACAACTCATGTATTCACATCATTTCAATTCAGCTTTTCAATGACTAGTGAGGCAATACTTGACCAGAACATTGGAAAAAGAAAGTATATGATTGAAAGGATTGTCCCTCTCTTCAAGGCAATCCAGTCTGTATACAAGGAGTATGCATTTGACTGGATTGAGACAGAGGTTACAAGCATCAAGGATGCCAAGGCAGATGGAATTGGTGTAAAACTTGGAAGCAACAAGGAACATATTTTTATTGAAGTTGCAGGAGGTCCTGAAAACACTACAGAAAAGCATGCAAATGACAATGCAGAAAAGCTCATTAAGGAAGCCATCTTTGGACTAGTGTCTCTGCTGCAAGACTATTTAAATAAGAGTGCAGAGGCAGTTAGGGATGTTGGCACCTTCATAGTCCAAGTTATTGGTAATGTATTTCACTATATAGTACAAGATCCCTTCAAATTATTTTAAACTTATGCTGACAAATTTACATAGGTGACCAAATGACATTGAGCAAGCTTTGCCTGGATGGAAAACACTCTTACAGTTTATCTCAGATCAAGTCAGCAACCATACCATTTTGCTTTGATGAGGTCAAAAAATACATGGAAGTTTTTGAACTTCTTTATACTTTAGTGGTGAGTATGTTTCTATTTGTGTATATAGCAGCAGATCCCACAGTGCTTCACTATTTTTTTATATTTACTCCCCAGAGTGCACTGGAAAATCAAGCACATAGGTTGAAGAGGCTGAGGCTCACCAGTTTCACTGGTGATGCACCTATGGTTCATGAATGGTTGTGGGTTCCAAACTCAATTGCAGTGTAGAAAGGAAATACATAATTTGCAAAGTTTGTCATGAATAATGAATTACTGAATGTAATGTATCCACAGCTTAATAAAAATGGCTCAAGAAAATTTTTCTGACATGCAAATATACCTATAACCTCACTATTTATGCAAGGGCCAAATAATAGCCATCTACAGAATGCTAAGCAATGCAATAAACACATGAAAATAAAATAAAAAGTGATAAAAATTATATATAGGAGTACCCGTATATGAAAGATTATAATTAAACGGTTTCACCGAATACGAAAAAGCAATGCGTGTTTGAAAAGGATCCTAGGAGAAAAGTTTGCTGATTACGTGAAGCGTTTCAAGCTCTCTCTGAATCCGAACAAGATATATTTTTAATGACCAGCTGAAAGGTGGAGAAATAACTGCCAGTTGACGTTTTAAAAAGAAAACGCGTACTAATAAGAGAAAGTTTTCCTACTGAGACCGCAATACGCCCCTCTGTCAGAAAACGTGTCTTAACATGTTAATGTTAGAATTGGTCGCACGCACTTCGAAAACACCTAGTGACGAATGGTATAATACCGCGCGCTCATGGTAATGTAAAAAAAGTGTCACGATGAAAAACCAAAATAACCATTGATATAACCGTTGCTACAACCGTGAAAAATTTTCTCGAAAACTATGCTGCAATTCAGGATTACCAAGTCCACGGTAGAAATGTCAATCGCATTACTCAATCGCATACTCTTTTGCCAGCTGAAACAAGTTACAAGTCAGTCTATCGTAATTTTATTACAGGTCTTGAAAACGATGGCACGTTGAAATCATTAAAATATGATGCGTTCCGCAAGTTATGTCACCAATTAACGCCTTATATTCAAATTCAGAGTCCAAGAACGGATTTATGTGACACGTGCCAACATTTTCGGAACGGCTTACAGCATAATGCTCGTAAGGAAGAGGAAACGAAAGGTTTACTGAAAAGATACAAAACTAGTAGAAGAGCAAAGAAAATTAGTAGATCTAATCTTGTGGCGAGTGGTAAGGTTGAGTATTGTAGTGTTGATATCACTGCTCATTACAGTTATAATTAAACGCAAAATGTTCACATTTCACACTCCAATCAACAAGTAAGATTTACTATCTCAGTCCGCGTAAAGTACTAATGGAACGTTCATAAATTAACAATTTTAAAAGACGGCAATAAACATTTAAGTGAGATCCTGATTCAAACCGGCAACTTGAGCTTGCACTTAGGGGTTTGTATTAACTTACCAACGTCGAACCATTTCGAGTAATTATAAAACTAAATCATTTACAAATTCCTGAAAGTAAATTACTATTCTTTTTACAAAAAATTAATGGAAAATAAATACTTTTTATTGAAAAACTTCCACTACTGACTGCTGTCAAGCTTTTCTTTGAAAGGGAACTATAACATTGACAAAACTAGCCTCTTTACCAGTTGGAACTTGATAGATTATTGTTGTATTGGCGTCTATAGCGCTATGCGCAAACGCCACGGCAAATTAAATTTTTTAATAATCAGTAAATCCGATTACCGCAATGCTTGGATGTTAACAGCAATATTTGGTTTACCAAAGTGCATGGAAATTGGCTTTTTACCGAAGATTTTCAAATACTGAATTAATTTTGTCTATAAAACACAAATTCAGCTGATGGATGCCGGTATTATGTCACTTTCGTCGTTATCACGTTTGGTGGGATGTTATTGTTAGTCTGGAGTGGAAAGATGCCAAAAATTTGAAGGCGGAGGGTGGCACACCAAAAGAAGCTGCAGCAACGGCATCGGCAATGGAGGGAATCAATCCTTTCGGGCCAGAGTTGCTGGTTGGGACATCGACGTTTGGTGCCACCCCGGTGGAGCGATTCACCACCCCTCCTCCTCTTGATCTCCGACGTTTTATAAACAATAAGATGTAGCATTGATCTTGGAACTGTGTTACGCCTGAGGTCGTGTTTAATCGCCGAATTCTTCCTGACAATTACCACGGAGATAAAGCTCCAGAGTTAAATGATTGTTTACTGAATTATCAAGCCCATGGTGAATTTGAATTTCCTAATGCAATGACAACAAACGAGTTTTTGTATTTTATATTTTTTTTTTTATTTGTTGGGAATACGAAGAAGCGGGCGGTGATAGTAACGAATACAGTAGTTAATGTTAGGCATTAAAAACTTGACGTAATTTTATCATCCGTAACACGAAAGCTTTTAGACTAACGTTAATATATAACAATTTCCAAACTGCCGAACTGGCAAGCGTCCGAATTGACGTTAAATCATTACATATATTGGTTAGTTGTCTTTTTCCAATACGTGGTTTATACAGTTGATCCGTTGATAGACATCCGAAGAATCCGTTCGGATTACTGAATATGGATTAGTATTACCAGTGTAACCGTGGTTTATCACGTGTTATTAGTCACACTATTCCGAAGACTGTATAGTGCATTGTCGTTGTGATAGCAGCAACAAACATGACCTCCAGTCAGTCTGATAAGGAATGGTTAAGAAAAAATATTGAAGATGGAAACATTCGGTTTTATTCTTTCGATGAGTTTATTGAAGTCCTATACCTCGGTGCCGGAGGATATGGGGCGGTTTTCAAAGCCAAAGTGAAGTCACTTGGTAGAACGGTGGCATACAAGCTTTTGCATTCACAAAATGATGAAATGATGGAAAACTTTGTCAAGGAGGTTGGTAATATAATGACGACTTTATATTTGGATTTGTTGCTTTACTTTAACCACCCACTCAAACGATACCTTTAGCTTAAGATTCATCGCAACGTTGATGACCATCCCAACATAATTCGGTTCCTTGGAGTGAGTAAAGGTAAGCATTGAGGTGTCGCCACGGGTACACTTATTATTATTATATGACATTAACAGTGGCTTAATGACTAGATACGATGAATAGATATGTAATGGTCTTCAAGTATGCTGACGGTGGTTCATTACGATCTTACTTATCGGACCCGTCTGTTGAATTGGACTGGCCTACGAGATGCCAACTCGGTATCAATATCGCTAATGGCTTGAGTTATCTTCACGGGCGTCATATTATACATAAAGATTTGGTAATAATAGATGTGCAGAAACAATATTATATGTTCAGGACGTTCTATAACAATTGACAATTTTATTATCATTTAGTCTTCACAAAATATATTGATTCATGTCGGCGTGGCGAAGATAACTGACTTTGGTTTGTCTGACCTGATATTACAACAAAAAAGCCATTCAAACATTAAAGGAACCCTTCCATATCTTGACCCCAGATGTTTATTCGACCCTTCTACTAAGCGTGATGAAAAGTCGGATATATTTAGCTTTGGAGTGGTATTATGGGAAATCTCTGGCGGAAAGAGACCATGTGATGGGCTCCAGTATCATAATGACATTGTAAACTATAGACTAAATGGTAGTCGAGACACACCAGTATCAGGAACTCCCTCAGCATATATCACAATATATTCAGAATGTTGGGATGATGCTCCTGAGAAAAGACCATCTTGTGGGCAGATTTCTGACAGATTAAGCATAATAGGTCAACTAGCAACAGTTTCAAGTAAATGCCAAGAAGAATTATTAAAAGGAAAAAGTCAAGATCAGATTACTAACCCAATTAAAGACTGGTTAGCACATAATGGATGGTATCAACAGAGTTATCCACCTGTTAAGAGGCTCAAGGATCATGTTGATTGTGGGCAATGTTGTTGGCTACTTGGGTTTTTTTATGAACATGAGATAACAGTTGGAAAGGATCTTAATCAAGCAATCTACTGGTATAAAGTGTCAGCAGAAAAAAATGATGCTTTTGCACAATATAGTCTTGGTTATTGCTATGAAAGGGGTATTGGAGTAGAGAATGATGATAAGAAGGCATTTGAATTATATAAAAAAGCAGTTGAACAAGGAAATGCTGTTGCACAAAATAGTCTTGGTAATTGCTATTATTATGGAATTGGAATAGAGAAAGATGCTAAGAAAGCAGTTAAATTATATGAAAAAGCAGTTGAAAAAGGAAATGCTACTGCACAAACTAATCTTGGTTGTTGCTACGAAAAGGGTATTGGAGTAGATAAAGATGCCAAGAAGGCAATTGAATTATATGAAAAAGCAGTTGAACAAAGAAATGCTTTTGCACAAAATAGTCTTGGTTATTGCTATCTATATGGAATTGGAGTAGAGAAAGATGCCAAGAAGGCAGTTGAATTATATGAAAAAGCAGTTGAACAAGGAAATGCTCTTGCACAAAATAATCTTGGTTATTGCTATCATTATGGAATTGGAGTAGAGAAAGATACTAAGAAGGCAGTTGAATTACATAAAAAAGCAGTTGAACAGGGAAATGCTTCTGCACAAAATAGCCTTGGTCTTTGCTATGAAAAGGGTATTGGAGTAGAGAAAGATGATAAGAAGGCAGTTGAATTATATAAGAAAGCAGTTGAACAAGGACATGCTACTGCACAAAATAATCTTGGTTATTGCTATGAAAGGGGTATTGGAGTAGAGAAAGATGCTAAGAAGGCAGTTGAATTATATAAAAAAGTAGTTGAACAAGGAAATACTTCTGCACAAAAGAACCTTGGTTATTGCTATCAACATGGAATTGGAGTAGAGAAAGATGTTAAGAAGGCAGTTGAATTATATGAAAAAGCAGTTGAACAAGGAAATGCTTCTGCACAAAATAGCCTTGGTCTTTGTTATAAAGATGGAATTGGAGTAGAGAAAGATGTTAAAAAGGCAATTGAATTATATGAAAAAGCAGTTGAACAAGGAAATGCTGATGCACAATATAATCTTGGTCATTGTTATTATTATGGACTTGGAGTGGAGAAAGATGCTAAGAAGGCAATTGAATTATATGAAAAAGCAGTTGAACAAGGAAATGCTGATGCACAATATAATCTTGGTCATTACTATTATTATGGAATTGGAGTAGAGAAAGATGCTAAGAAGGCAGTCGAATTATATGAAAAAGCAGTTGAACAAGGAAAT